GCAGTTATCCAAAAACTTATGGGTTTCTGCTCTAATCCTTTTCACCATTTATCTCTATTTAGGCTCTGGAAGCTAGCTTTCTAGTGTTCAGATAACCAAATCACACTAGCAGCCTCACTCTGCAATAGTCATTTCACAAAACTTGATTACTGTTTTGTGGTTTATCCTAATTTACATAAATGACAATGATATTCGAGAGTATGAGATGGTGTGACAAGCTTGGAGGGGCTACCACATTGCAGGCAATCTTCACATTAGTGTATAAAAAAAAGCAGCTAAACCTCTTATGCAAGTGAACTCCAGAATTGGAAAGAGTAGAAAGAGTATGACTTACAAAAAACAATTGGGAATAGTTTTAATTGTTCATGTGCTCTCTGTGGAGAGGAAAACATCCCGGAGCTGAGGGCAAACACTAAAAGTGGCTCTGGGGGCGTCAATTGAGTATATTCTGTGCTCCTCTGATATTTTAAAGGTATGAATAGCCAAAGCCAAAGCCTAAAGGTAATTTTACGGTTTATCTTATGAGCATCGAATATCGAAACATTAGAACCCGAAAATATGAAGGAAAATATACATACTATTTGTGGATGATGGGGTGGAACGGTTTATCTTATGAGCATCGAATATCGAAACATTAGAACCCGGAAATATGAAGGAAAATATACATACTATTTGTGGACGATGGGGTGGAGGTTTCATCTTTAGAATGACAAATTCAATGTCGGCTGGACTGAATGATTGACCTCTTATAGTATAAGATACCTGCATCAGTCACATAATATTGTCACTAAATTTCAGTTCTTACTTGAATTCTGATTTACCCTAGGAAATAGAGAAGAGAAGTCATCAATATGAACCTTTTGCATTAGAGCAAAGAACTTGATGTCATTTCTTGGAACTCCATATGCTCCTCTCGTTCATTGGGGGAATCGAGAGGGGATTTTGACTGTGGTCCTAACTGTAAGAAGGTTTGACCAAGTGGGTGTTTTGAGACAATCCTAACTGTAGGAAGGTTTGATCGCTCAATTTGTGGACCTCTCGTTCATTGGGGGAATCGAGAGGGGATTTTGACTGTGGTCCTAACTGTAAGAAGGTTTGACCAAGTGGGTGTTTTGAGACAATCCTAACTGTAGGAAGGTTTGATCGCTCAATTTGTGGACCTCTCGTTCATTGGGGGAATCGAGAGGGGATTTTGACTGTGGTCCTAACTGTAAGAAGGTTTGACCAAGTGGGTGTTTTGAGACAATCCTAACTGTAGGAAGGTTTGATCGCTCAATTTGTGGACCTCTCGTTCATTGGGGGAATCGAGAGGGGATTTTGACTGTGGTCCTAACTGTAAGAAGGTTTGACCAAGTGGGTGTTTTGAGACAATCCTAACTGTAGGAAGGTTTGATCGCTCAATTTGTGGACCTCTCGTTCATTGGGGGAATCGAGAGGGGATTTTGACTGTGGTCCTAACTGTAAGAAGGTTTGACCAAGTGGGTGTTTTGAGACAATCCTAACTGTAGGAAGGTTTGATCGCTCAATTTGTGGACCTCTCGTTCATTGGGGGAATCGAGAGGGGATTTTGACTGTGGTCCTAACTGTAAGAAGGTTTGACCAAGTGGGTGTTTTGAGACAATCCTAACTGTAGGAAGGTTTGATCGCTCAATTTGTGGACCTCTCGTTCATTGGGGGAATCGAGAGGGGATTTTGACTGTGGTCCTAACTGTAAGAAGGTTTGACCAAGTGGGTGTTTTGAGACAATCCTAACTGTAGGAAGGTTTGATCGCTCAATTTGTGGACCTCTCGTTCATTGGGGGAATCGAGAGGGGATTTTGACTGTGGTCCTAACTGTAAGAAGGTTTGACCAAGTGGGTGTTTTGAGACAATCCTAACTGTAGGAAGGTTTGATCGCTCAATTTGTGGACCTCTCGTTCATTGGGGGAATCGAGAGGGGATTTTGACTGTGGTCCTAACTGTAAGAAGGTTTGACCAAGTGGGTGTTTTGAGACAATCCTAACTGTAGGAAGGTTTGATCGCTCAATTTGTGGACCTCTCGTTCATTGGGGGAATCGAGAGGGGATTTTGACTGTGGTCCTAACTGTAAGAAGGTTTGACCAAGTGGGTGTTTTGAGACAATCCTAACTGTAGGAAGGTTTGATCGCTCAATTTGTGGACCTCTCGTTCATTGGGGGAATCGAGAGGGGATTTTGACTGTGGTCCTAACTGTAAGAAGGTTTGACCAAGTGGGTGTTTTGAGACAATCCTAACTGTAGGAAGGTTTGATCGCTCAATTTGTGGACCTCTCGTTCATTGGGGGAATCGAGAGGGGATTTTGACTGTGGTCCTAACTGTAAGAAGGTTTGACCAAGTGGGTGTTTTGAGACAATCCTAACTGTAGGAAGGTTTGATCGCTCAATTTGTGGACCTCTCGTTCATTGGGGGAATCGAGAGGGGATTTTGACTGTGGTCCTAACTGTAAGAAGGTTTGACCAAGTGGGTGTTTTGAGACAATCCTAACTGTAGGAAGGTTTGATCGCTCAATTTGTGGACCTCTCGTTCATTGGGGGAATCGAGAGGGGATTTTGACTGTGGTCCTAACTGTAAGAAGGTTTGACCAAGTGGGTGTTTTGAGACAATCCTAACTGTAGGAAGGTTTGATCGCTCAATTTGTGGACCTCTCGTTCATTGGGGGAATCGAGAGGGGATTTTGACTGTGGTCCTAACTGTAAGAAGGTTTGACCAAGTGGGTGTTTTGAGACAATCCTAACTGTAGGAAGGTTTGATCGCTCAATTTGTGGACCTCTCGTTCATTGGGGGAATCGAGAGGGGATTTTGACTGTGGTCCTAACTGTAAGAAGGTTTGACCAAGTGGGTGTTTTGAGACAATCCTAACTGTAGGAAGGTTTGATCGCTCAATTTGTGGACCTCTCGTTCATTGGGGGAATCGAGAGGGGATTTTGACTGTGGTCCTAACTGTAAGAAGGTTTGACCAAGTGGGTGTTTTGAGACAATCCTAACTGTAGGAAGGTTTGATCGCTCAATTTGTGGACCTCTCGTTCATTGGGGGAATCGAGAGGGGATTTTGACTGTGGTCCTAACTGTAAGAAGGTTTGACCAAGTGGGTGTTTTGAGACAATCCTAACTGTAGGAAGGTTTGATCGCTCAATTTGTGGACCTCTCGTTCATTGGGGGAATCGAGAGGGGATTTTGACTGTGGTCCTAACTGTAAGAAGGTTTGACCAAGTGGGTGTTTTGAGACAATCCTAACTGTAGGAAGGTTTGATCGCTCAATTTGTGGACCTCTCGTTCATTGGGGGAATCGAGAGGGGATTTTGACTGTGGTCCTAACTGTAAGAAGGTTTGACCAAGTGGGTGTTTTGAGACAATCCTAACTGTAGGAAGGTTTGATCGCTCAATTTGTGGACCTCTCGTTCATTGGGGGAATCGAGAGGGGATTTTGACTGTGGTCCTAACTGTAAGAAGGTTTGACCAAGTGGGTGTTTTGAGACAATCCTAACTGTAGGAAGGTTTGATCGCTCAATTTGTGGACCTCTCGTTCATTGGGGGAATCGAGAGGGGATTTTGACTGTGGTCCTAACTGTAAGAAGGTTTGACCAAGTGGGTGTTTTGAGACAATCCTAACTGTAGGAAGGTTTGATCGCTCAATTTGTGGACCTCTCGTTCATTGGGGGAATCGAGAGGGGATTTTGACTGTGGTCCTAACTGTAAGAAGGTTTGACCAAGTGGGTGTTTTGAGACAATCCTAACTGTAGGAAGGTTTGATCGCTCAATTTGTGGACCTCTCGTTCATTGGGGGAATCGAGAGGGGATTTTGACTGTGGTCCTAACTGTAAGAAGGTTTGACCAAGTGGGTGTTTTGAGACAATCCTAACTGTAGGAAGGTTTGATCGCTCAATTTGTGGACCTCTCGTTCATTGGGGGAATCGAGAGGGGATTTTGACTGTGGTCCTAACTGTAAGAAGGTTTGACCAAGTGGGTGTTTTGAGACAATCCTAACTGTAGGAAGGTTTGATCGCTCAATTTGTGGACCTCTCGTTCATTGGGGGAATCGAGAGGGGATTTTGACTGTGGTCCTAACTGTAAGAAGGTTTGACCAAGTGGGTGTTTTGAGACAATCCTAACTGTAGGAAGGTTTGATCGCTCAATTTGTGGACCTCTCGTTCATTGGGGGAATCGAGAGGGGATTTTGACTGTGGTCCTAACTGTAAGAAGGTTTGACCAAGTGGGTGTTTTGAGACAATCCTAACTGTAGGAAGGTTTGATCGCTCAATTTGTGGACCTCTCGTTCATTGGGGGAATCGAGAGGGGATTTTGACTGTGGTCCTAACTGTAAGAAGGTTTGACCAAGTGGGTGTTTTGAGACAATCCTAACTGTAGGAAGGTTTGATCGCTCAATTTGTGGACCTCTCGTTCATTGGGGGAATCGAGAGGGGATTTTGACTGTGGTCCTAACTGTAAGAAGGTTTGACCAAGTGGGTGTTTTGAGACAATCCTAACTGTAGGAAGGTTTGATCGCTCAATTTGTGGACCTCTCGTTCATTGGGGGAATCGAGAGGGGATTTTGACTGTGGTCCTAACTGTAAGAAGGTTTGACCAAGTGGGTGTTTTGAGACAATCCTAACTGTAGGAAGGTTTGATCGCTCAATTTGTGGACCTCTCGTTCATTGGGGGAATCGAGAGGGGATTTTGACTGTGGTCCTAACTGTAAGAAGGTTTGACCAAGTGGGTGTTTTGAGACAATCCTAACTGTAGGAAGGTTTGATCGCTCAATTTGTGGACCTCTCGTTCATTGGGGGAATCGAGAGGGGATTTTGACTGTGGTCCTAACTGTAAGAAGGTTTGACCAAGTGGGTGTTTTGAGACAATCCTAACTGTAGGAAGGTTTGATCGCTCAATTTGTGGACCTCTCGTTCATTGGGGGAATCGAGAGGGGATTTTGACTGTGGTCCTAACTGTAAGAAGGTTTGACCAAGTGGGTGTTTTGAGACAATCCTAACTGTAGGAAGGTTTGATCGCTCAATTTGTGGACCTCTCGTTCATTGGGGGAATCGAGAGGGGATTTTGACTGTGGTCCTAACTGTAAGAAGGTTTGACCAAGTGGGTGTTTTGAGACAATCCTAACTGTAGGAAGGTTTGATCGCTCAATTTGTGGACCTCTCGTTCATTGGGGGAATCGAGAGGGGATTTTGACTGTGGTCCTAACTGTAAGAAGGTTTGACCAAGTGGGTGTTTTGAGACAATCCTAACTGTAGGAAGGTTTGATCGCTCAATTTGTGGACCTCTCGTTCATTGGGGGAATCGAGAGGGGATTTTGACTGTGGTCCTAACTGTAAGAAGGTTTGACCAAGTGGGTGTTTTGAGACAATCCTAACTGTAGGAAGGTTTGATCGCTCAATTTGTGGACCTCTCGTTCATTGGGGGAATCGAGAGGGGATTTTGACTGTGGTCCTAACTGTAAGAAGGTTTGACCAAGTGGGTGTTTTGAGACAATCCTAACTGTAGGAAGGTTTGATCGCTCAATTTGTGGACCTCTCGTTCATTGGGGGAATCGAGAGGGGATTTTGACTGTGGTCCTAACTGTAAGAAGGTTTGACCAAGTGGGTGTTTTGAGACAATCCTAACTGTAGGAAGGTTTGATCGCTCAATTTGTGGACCTCTCGTTCATTGGGGGAATCGAGAGGGGATTTTGACTGTGGTCCTAACTGTAAGAAGGTTTGACCAAGTGGGTGTTTTGAGACAATCCTAACTGTAGGAAGGTTTGATCGCTCAATTTGTGGACCTCTCGTTCATTGGGGGAATCGAGAGGGGATTTTGACTGTGGTCCTAACTGTAAGAAGGTTTGACCAAGTGGGTGTTTTGAGACAATCCTAACTGTAGGAAGGTTTGATCGCTCAATTTGTGGACCT